AGTTCAGGAGGTCAAGCCCAAAGCACTGTGAGCAAGGTTCCTTAGGGCTTCATCCAGAAGGGTCTTGAAAATCTCAAGGACAGAGACAGCAAAACCTGATGGTACAGAGCACAAAGGTTTGCAATTATATTTCTTATTACATCTGAAACACTTAGCATTTTCTAGCTGCATTTCATTTATGCTTAACTGCAATGCTCACGTACTTTCATCTTAATTAAAAAGTCACATAAATAATAACCAGGAGGCTATGTGAATGACTGTAGTAATTACTCTTGCCTTTGTTTCTCTTTCTCTAGTAAGCAGATTATTTTGATGATAGGACAAATGGCTTTTTTACAGCATCATAACACAATCAACATGAGATTAGTGGTAAGGAAGTATGAGTTGCATTTACATATTGTAATACTTTTTTGGCTCAGTGAGGTACATCCAAAATTTACATCAAGCATACCTACAGCAGATTCACTAACTGTAATCAGTTGTTCATCTACTAGCAGGAGTATATGTTTGTCAGACCCCACAGGGTGACCTTCAGCTCTTCTGCTCAGCAAGTGGGAGCTCCTATACCTTAAACACAAGTCCCACTGTATATTATATCAAGTTTTTAACATATATTTTATGTACATTTCTCAGATGTGAGTATTTGCAGGTTGATTCTGTTATGAAAATGTTAGATGACCTTTAAAAGTCCCTTCCAACTCAAATGATTCTGTAATTCTATGAGAATTACTACAAATTATGTTTCATTTTCAAACAAAGCATGACTAATCGGAGGCTTAATTTTGAGCTACATTATAGTAAGTAGCTTTAGAAAAAAACATCACATTCGCTCTTTCACAACTCAACATTTTTCAAGTCAACATCAAAGGAGATGTGCCTTTTTTGTAGCAAACGTATTTTCTAGGCACACCTAAATACCATCTTCAGTAAACTTTTTCTGAGAATCTTCAGATTTGTTTACATCCTCCTTAGACACCTGCTGGTAAAAACTAGCAAAGCCATTCTCTATTCCTTCAAACAGTCTAAGAGATCCTGCACTATTAGACATAGTTTCAAATTAATTAGATTCACTGCTGTAAATGAGTCCACTTTTGTGGACACCACTGGAATTCATAAAATACTCTCTCCAATCTGCAGACTCCTAATATTTTAGCATCTGAGTCTCCACTAGTAAAACGCCTTAAAGCCTAACATGTCTATGAACAGACAAGTACATAAGGAGAGAAAAGTCTTCACAAAGGGTTCAGAGACCATACCCCTTTCTGTAGGGGATAGTTCAGTTGTGGAACTCCTTGATGAAGAATCTTATATAGGTTCCAAAATCGATAGTGTAAAATAAGGAAAGACAAATCTGTCAGGGATTACTGAGCATAGATGTATAACTTTCAGCTCAAGAAGTCACTAAACAGTGTATTTGAACACACAGAGACTATTCAGAGAATGGATTAACTTATATTTGCTCTGTACAAGTCCTTCCTGCATTACATCTCAATGTAAGAGACAGGATACTATGGGAAATGTACCACTGGTCTGACAAACTATAAATATCCTATGATTTTATAAGTCCATTGACAAGAGACTTGTTTTTCTTAGTGAATTCTCACATATAACTGAATTCATATACCTACAGCCAAGCATTTAAAGCCACTAACCAGCAAATACAGAACTTGTCCACTGAGCTGAGGGAGAAAGCCAACAGGATCTCTTTCCTTATTCCTAAGGACACTCATAGATTTTACAAATGGGGAAATAACTACTGCTAAAAAGAAGGATGTCACAAAGCCCCAGTGCATTGTCTTGCCTGAGGTTCACTTCAGAGGTAGAACTAACTGCCACAAACAGAAGGGAACTAGGAATCCTTGTTTTCATATGCTAGTTAGTGCCCTGAACACAGGACATCTGTTTAATAAGAAATGTCCAGAGTCATTGTTTCTTGTATTTCCATCAGGAAGAATACCACAAAGTAAGGAAGTCTAGATAACAAGATTGCCTGTGCTTCCATCAGATACTCCAACTGGCTGCCACAGCACTACAATTTAAGCTATGCAAAGCCCAAGTCATTTCTCTGACTCTAGTTCAGCACTGCTCTATAATCCAGAGGAATACTCTGTAGAGGATGCAATATATGTTTCCTCTCTTCTAACTGAAAGCAATGCTGCTTGTGGGAAGTCCCAAGCTTTCTGCAGCCAATACCCAAAATTGAACTGCACAGACTGCCTCTCCTAGCCAGTGATAGGAAGAGTGGCCATGATAACAGACCTCCATGCAAGAATAGCCATGGTGACAGGAAGCCCTGAGGCACTTGCCACAGACAGAATATTTTCAGACAGATGAAAACACTCTGTACTGCCAGAGTCACAAACACCAATTCTGATTAGGTCAGAATCATCTTATGCGTGATTTAGTAATAATTTATATTCAACTTTATAGCAGAAGAATTCTTTTTTCCTTTTTGACTGACTGCAATATCTTCTTTCGTGAGAAACCCCAAGACATTTTTTGCTTGGATGTATTTGCATTTCTGATTTTTTTTCCAGTCTAATTGATCTGAAACTTTAACATTCTTTCATTTTATAAATTCCCTGTCTAAGGTATGAATACCTTTATTAGCCATTTAAAACATAAAAATGCTATACACTTGTTACAATCAGAAAGATCAACAGAGTGAAAGGGCAATACAGGAGCAGAACAAAAAAGGGACCAGCACAGATAGACTGGTGTTTCAAAGAAAAAGTGCTCACCCATCTCTGAAGATCTGGGTTTACAGAAAAGACTCCACAAGAGAGAGATCTCCAACTAAAGATCCTTCCCCAGTGGCAGTCAGCCCTTAAAAGAGGTCTAAGAGAGGTACAGCCAGGCTCCACCTCTGCTGGTCACACAGCTGAATTACCTTCACCTGTGCTCCCAGGGCTGACAGGGTCCTTTCCCAGGTGCTCAATCAGTGGTTCAGACCTTACCTACACTTACCTGCTCAATCAGGTTCAGTGACTTAACAGTTACCATACAACACTACGCTGAGTATAAAGAGAGTTAGACAACTTTGAAGTAAATATTTCAATCTTCAGTCTTCTTGAGTGATGACTGAACTCTGTTTATGTCACTTCCAGTTATTTAGGAGTAATTGATTGTTGATTCTTACAGCTAAAGCTGTATTTCTGTTCTTCTCTTCTATTTATCTTTTAAAAGATGGTTTCAAAGTGAGGATCTTGCAGTATCAGTAACAAAAGATCAATAAAAGATGCAAAAAACTCAGAATCAGACAACTTTTTAAATATATCCTACAAAAGTTCATAACTCTTCAGACTACTCCATGAAGAAATGCTGCAACTCAGGTTAGCACCACTGATGTATTTTCTTGGGCCTTTTTCCTATCTTCATTTTCTAAGCAATCCATAGCAAGTACAGTATTTACTATACACGGTGTTAAACCATTTAAAACGGGCAATAAAAGAAAACAGCCCACTTCCTATGGCAGCACAGCAGAAACATGCCTGTACTGCTGAATGAGCCCTGGCACTGGAAGGAACGAGGCCAGAGTTTCTCTCTCCAGCCAGACTTCAGAGGAAAGGGAGCCACCTGCTGCTCGAAGCGAGGCAGGCTGCAGCGTCTTTTCAGTTTCATTGCGTGAAACACCAAGGTGAGATTCAGCAAAAGAAGCTCAAAGAGTTGCTATTCTTCTTCACACTGCAGATCCAGGAGGCAAAGGATGCAGGCTGCTGAGCATTGCTGTCCCTCATCTCCCCAGCCTGACTCAGACAGCTGCAGCCAACACTGCCAGTAGCCAGTGGTTAAGCACAAATAGCATCCCTTTCTAAAAATAAAAAGAAATGAAAACAAAATACAAACAACCCTTCACATTAGGCGTGCATCACAAGTATGATACAAGTAACAACTAGCACCGACTGGTATACTGGGTGCAAGGAAACCACCCATTTATGTACATCTATACATAAAGACATTCTCTAGTCAATAAGGATGGATCGAGTGCACCTCGCACACTCCTAAATCTGTACTTATGGATGTCATCTTTTGACTCTGTGGCTGCAGCCTTGCAATCAAGCTGCTCTCAGTGCAGCGTCTCTCAGTGGGGGAGCTCTGCTCACCAAAGAATCGGCAAGTCCTGGGAAGGAGGAAGCTGCACACAGAAAGGTTCCTTGCCATTGAAAGGTTTATTGGTATTATCTCATAGCAGCTTCAATATACAACTGGCCTTGGTGAGAAGAAATAAGTGAGATAGACAAAAAAAAAGAGGAAGCTTAAGAAAAAATTTGCTGGTCGATCTACTTCCTGAAACCCTGTTCCTGTGTTGTAACGAGGGGATTCTAGTGAGAATCCGGAGTTCAGCTCACAGGTGGAAGCGATCCCCCACGGCCCCACCCCGCCGGGCGCCTTCCCGTCTCATGTCAGACCCGGGGCCTGGCTCTGGTGACACTCGAGAAAACACCAAGGAGAACTCTGCGGCTCGTGCAGATTTGACCTAAATAAGAGTAACTTTCCCCATAAACGACAAACGACACCACAAGGCTGCACTGAACCCCCCCCCACTCAGCTTCTTCCTCCTGCCCGCCCCGCCCGCCTAGCGCTGCCCTTACCAAACATGGCGGCAGAAGACGGGCCGGGAGCGGCGCCAAGCTGCGGCTGAGGCCGCTTCCGCCCGTCAGCGCCCGTCACGTGATCACCGGGCTGCGGCGGCCGCTGCCCGGCTCCAGCGGGTCAGAGCGCGGCGCGGCACGGCGGGGCAGTGCCGGTGGGCTGCGGCGCTGCCAGCCGCGTTCCGGCCTCTCTGCGGTGGCGGCCGGCGAGCTGGCGCTGGGCGCGCTGCGCGGAGCGGGCGGCAGCGGCGAGATGGAGCCCGAGGAAAGAGAAGACCGCACCCCGCTGCTGAAGGAGTCCCAGCTCGGCGCGGGTGAGATACGCGGGCGGCGGCACCGCGGGCAGCACTGCGGGCAGCACTGCGGGCAGCCGTGCCCCGCCGCAGGGCCGGCAGGGGGCGCGCCTCCCGGGCGTCGCGTTGCCATGGCGGCCCCAGGGCTCGCCTCGCTCGGGCCGGGCCCGTACCGCCGTCCTCGCAGGGACAGGCGGCTCGTTCTCAGCGCGGTGACAGGGAGATGTATCCCTGCGGTTTCTTTTGCACGTAGATACTCGAGCCTCGGGCCGGTGCCTGCTCGGCCGTACTGCCCGCCTGAGCGTTGGCCTCGCCGCCGGGATCTGCTGAGGGTGCGGCAGACCTTCGAGACCGAGCGTGACTAAGGCGGGGAGCTGGCGGCGGGGAGCAGAGGAGGGCGTGAGGGGGACGGCGTAAGGATAAGATGTGCGACTGATCCAGGGGGTGAAATGCCTCCCCTGAGAGGGCGGGCTGAGAGCTGGGGCTGGTCAGCCTGGAGGAGGGAAGGCTCCAGGGAGACCTGAGAGCAGTTTTTCAGGATCTAAAGGCGGGCTATAAGAAAGAATGGGGCATGCTCTCCATCTGTGTATGGACAAAGGGAAATGATTTCAGACTAAGAGAGGGGAGATTTAGGTTGGATATAAGGAAGGGGTTTTTTACAACAAGGATAGTGAAGCATTGGAATACGTTGGCTGGAGATGTGGTGGATGCCCGTCCTTGGAGATGTTCAAGGTCAGGCTGGACAGGGCTCTGAGCAACCTGATCTAGCTGTGCTGTCCCTGTTCTCTGCAGGGGAGCTGGCCTAGATGACCTCTAAGGGTCCTTTCCAACTCAAACAATTCTATGAAAGTGAGAAGCAGATCATTAAAGGTCAGGGCCCAGCTGGGCTGAGGCAGATCAGGGTGTTCTGTGGGCTCTCCCAGGACAGTCTGTACGGACAGCTGTGAGACTTTGAGTTCCTTCAATGTTCGTGCTTCTGAGATATGTAGTACAGCAAAACAACTGAAAAGCGCCAGCGGGGAATTAAGAGTTCAGGTCGTTTACCAAAGCAATACATTCTTGGGCTTGCACAATCCATCGTGATGCACCTCACCCAAAAGGAAAATGCAGTAGGAAAGCAACTTCCTATAACTGCCATGCAACCTTCAGCGTAGACCTAATTCTGCAGTTTAAGACTCTTGTTCAGTTACAGCTTTAGTGCTATAAAACATGCCCCTGCAATCAGCGTTATCCCTCGATGTAGGACCCGAGGCTGCCAGTCAAGGTAAGATCTTCAACATCATGAAGTTGTGGGGGATGATGGCAGTATCCCTTTGCCAGTAATTATGGTGATGTTCTGAGGAGGTGCGTAACCTTGGGAAACACATCTAGAATCTTCTTGAATCTTCTGTTCCCTTAATGTGACCTCATATTCTCAAGTATTACAGATATAATCAGTGGGAAGATAGGGAAGCAATAATTTAACAGACTTTTGTTTCAACCTTATAAGTCTGTGTGTTCATTAGACTTCTCTGATAAGTTATTTACAGCAGGATTAAAAAAAAAAAAAAAAAGACATTAATGGCTTAAAGTTGTTACATATTTATGTTGTGAAGCTTGCTCTCTGGCATGTATTCCAGTAAGAGATGTCCAGAAGTAGAATAATGGATGTTCCAGTTAACCTGTGTATCTGAGGAAGGTTACAGCATAGTACAGTATTAAATCTTCTGTTATTGTATAACTCCAGCTAATGCAGGTACAGCAATGGGAAGATTAAATAACTCTTCTTGTGATTATGTTCATTCTTACTAATTTGAAGACTATACATTTTCTATTTAAAGGAAATTGCATTTTAAAAAACAATGAAGGGCTCAACTTGTTTTTGTACAGTAAGCACTTCCTGCTCTTGGTGCCTGTTTTTTTTGTAAAGCAAGCAATAAATTATTGACTGCTGTCACTTATATCATTTAAAAGTGAGATAAGCCTATTTTTCAAATGCTGCTCCTGTCATTACTGTTGGTCTGGAAGATGCTTTATGTATTTGCTTAGCAGCCTATCATGTTACTCATTTACTAAAGAAAGAACAAATACTGCCTTGCTGTCCTTTCAACAACTTGCATTAACAATAGTGAACTTCAGATGAAGTTAGTTAAGGAGAGAGACCTCAAAAATGAAAATGTTCTACAACTTTCATGAAAACTACAGTTTTGTAGGAAGGTTCTGTTGGTACCCCTACAACCAAGGGTTCATTGTTTCTGGGGTAATGCTATTTTGCTTCTTATTGCAAATCAGAAAATGTAGTCAAGAGACATGCTGCAGCTGCAGATCGGGCTCTAGTCAGACCTGTTGTTGGTAGATCTACTTGTTCTATTCCGAATTTCAATGCTAAATTGCTAAAGAAACAGTTGCTATGAATTGTTGCAGTATCTATAAGTGCTGATCACCAGTCTTTCCTGAGTTTTGTATTCTTACATTATAAATTTTTCCGTTTCCACCATAGTTTCCTCACAAGAGGAAGCTCTACTCTGTAACTATTTGTAAATCTATGGCTTTTCTTAACAACTCAGTGGGTAGGTTCAACCATCCCCTGTTTACAGAGTATCTGCAGAACCACCAAGTGTGCTTGTATGCAGCCTTCCTATGGCCAACAGTGATGTTCTGGCCAAGATGGAGCTTGACTCTGCTTCAAACTTCCTGGCATGGGTGGGTAATCTCTGCCAAATGCTGCAGGTCTACCATTAGAGGAAATCGATACCTGTGACAGTGCAAAGTCTGAAAGATGATTATAAATGGCTGATAGTCATCTTAATGCCACAGTACAAGTTTAATGCTAAATCTAAAATCTATTTTCCTTTGACACCTTCAACTGTTGAAGAGGGGCAAGAGTGGGCATCTGGGAACTGCTGCTGTTCTGCAGTGCGTTGGCAGTGTTTGCTTTTAGAATTCCTGCAAGTCTTCTCACTTAGGCAGTTGCTAGCAAATGCATATTGCTTTATAAACAAATTTATAGAAGGAAACCTAGTCCTAGAAAACTATCTGGAATCTCATTGGGTGTTCTTTAATGCTACCATAAGAGTTTCTGTCCATCATGAACCATTTTCAATAGGATGAGAGATAATGGACTTAAGTTGCACCAGGAGAGTTTCAGGTTGAATAGTAAATAAATTTCTTCTCGGAAACAATGAGTGAGGCATTGGCATAAGCTGCCCAAGGAGGTGGTGAAGTCACCATCCCCAGAGATGTTCAAGGAACGTGTAGATATGGCACTGAAGAACATGGTTCAGTGGGCATGGTGGGGATGGGTTGACAATTGGGCTAGATAATCGTAGTAATTTTTTTCCAACCTTCATGATTCTATGATTTTTTTTTTCAGTTACATAACAAGCTTCTCACCAGTCTCTTTTTCTTCCTTTTTTTTTTTCTTTTTTTTTTTTCTTTGCTGTTGCTTTTGTTTGTTTGCTGGTCTCTTGTTTTTTAATTGTTAAATGAAATTCCAATTTCAGTAATTATTACTGTATTTTCAAGAAAGCATTCAAAACCACGTTTCTAAACCAGCACTTCCACTGCAGCCCCTACACCTCTGTACGTAGCCACCAGTAGCCTAAACCAGAATTACTTTTGTTTTGCACTCCAACAGAAAAATGGACGTTATTTTTCTACGCCGATCCTCTGTCCCTGTTGATATGCCCCTTGAGACTGGAACAGTCAACTTCTCTTGACTTATTTTTTCTAATCCAAAAATTTCTGAGATTATTAGTATAAAAAAAAAAAATTCTCACTTATTTTGCTTTTTGCTTGTTTGTTAGGTTGTGTTAAAACAAAACCTTCTTATTTATTCTCATTTCAGTCCCTGCATGCTGCTCAGCTCGCTACAATCTGGCACTGCTGGCCTTTTTTGGGTTCTTCCTTCTGTATGCATTACGTGTGAACCTAAGCGTTGCTCTGGTGGACATGGTGGAACCTAACACGAGCTTAGCAAAGAATACAACTTCCAATGTGTGTCCAGAGCATTCCTCCACCATAAATGTTCCTCGCAACACAACGGTGAGGTCTCAAGCATATTGTTCTGAAACGTAGCACATAAAGTTGTTTTTAATAAAGTATGCAACAGGTGACTCATACTTAAATGTCAGGAGAACTGGCTGATCTGTACCAGATGGCCCTTACAGTGGTTCTTATAAAGCAATTCTGTAACATAATGTCTTTAAATAACCAGCTGATTTAGAAGTGCTGTGCTCGTGGTCAGGCATGTTGTTTTTTAATGCATATCCTTTCTTCTCCCTTCTTTACAAATTGGCTGATCTGACCTTATAGATGAATTATGACGCACTTTTATATGCCAGCGATCAACCATTAGTGTTACATGTGCGTCAGAGCTCACATCACTCTCTGTATTTAACTGTTTTCCACACGTGCCTTGATGGCTTGAAATTTTATTACAAATTAATGTGCAGTATTTTTTCCCCCACTTTTTTGATCCCCATCCCAGATTGTGATTCTTGTCTTTATATCCTTTATCTATTGACTTCCCACGCAGTAATCCTTAAAATCACATTTCTTAGCTATGAAGTTACATTAAAAAAAGAAAAAAGGTTCTGTTGATTTGGATTTGCATAGATCTCGCATCATAATTAAGTTTATTAGTGAGCATTCTTGCCCTCTCATTGCCTTCATTTTGTTTGTTTAGAAGTATTTATTATTTATTGCAAACAAATTATAACCATGTGCTGAATGGGAAGAAGGTTCCTCCCATTGCTTCTGTGAAATGGCTGCTGCTCATTTAGAGGACTTCTGGAAGTGATCCCAAGCTTCAAAATCACTTCCTTGGGCAATGATTGGTGTCCTCTTGTTGACTCTAACTTCCTTATCTCAATTATCTGTGCCTTTATTGTCTCGTCTGCTAGACTTACCTTCGCTCTGCCATCCTTATTCTGTTCTTCCATATCTCTGTCCTTGTCTATCCTGTCTTTGTCTGCTCTTTCTTCATTTTAAATTTAGACATCTGCATCTCTTTGCTTGCTTTTCTCTCTGTAAGTTTTCCGCAGGAAAATTGCTTTTTCGGAGTGACAGAATGTCCACACTGTGATATGGAATTGAGATCCACTCTTGTGTAGGCACATCCCTGCAACCAGTACATGTATCACTTAACCAAGTTGCTTATAGCTCAGAAAGGGATAATCACCTGAAGACTTCTATTTAATGTTGTGATGATTTTTGTACTTGGCCTAGATGTGTTTGTGCATTGTAAACTACTTGAATTAGCTTTCAGTGCAACTTTGATTGCCTCCCTAGGGGGGGAGTCCATGAAAGATTTGCAATTTAGGTATGAAGCATTAAAAAAGGGATTGAATTTGTGTAAAATATGGTCAATATTTTGAACTTACTGTATTTTGGATTTTTTTTTCTCTTTTTAGGGCAAAAAGTATTCTTGGGATGCTGATACTCAGGGGTGGATCCTTGGTTCTTTTTTCTATGGCTATATCATTACTCAGATTCCAGGTGGATATCTTGCAAGCAAAATTGGAGGGAAGCTCTTGTTGGGGTTTGGCATCTTTGGTACCTCCGTGTTCACCTTGCTTACTCCATTAGCTGCAGATCTGGGAGTTGGCTACCTCATTGCTGTCAGAGCCTTGGAAGGACTGGGAGAGGTAACTGTTTTTCTCTATGTAACTGGAACATATATCTGAATAATGTATTGACAGGTCATAGTAATTAGACCCTGTGAATATTGGTATGCTGTAGTTAGTAGCTGTAGTAGCATGTGGGTATTTTATTTCGAGTAGCTTAATTTTACTTTTTTGAATAGTTAACAAGTGTATATTATTTTTTATTTATAAGGACACTTAAGACAAAACTAGAGTTATCCATAATTTAGTCAGAACCCAGCAGTTCAAAAGAGTATTTTTTGTATTCTTGCAGCTTTTCCAGTATATACAGAATCAAAAGCAGAAGAAATTGATTCTGCTTCTTGATTTTCATACACTGCATGCTGGTTTTTTTTGTTTTTCCCCAAGTGGTTTCATTCTAAACAAGAGCCTAACAAATTTTACTACTGCTTTTTAATGCAATGCAGTTTGAAACATGAAAACTTGAAAGAAATTATAAAACTGCTACTTTTTAACAGAATTGATTCTTTTTTTATCTAGGGTGTTACCTTCCCAGCAATGCATTCAATGTGGTCTTCTTGGGCTCCTCCCCTGGAACGCAGCAAACTCCTTAGTATTTCATATGCAGGTGAGAAATTCCCACGCTAATAACAGGATTATGCGTTTTTACTGCCGTAACAGAGAGGATTAATTTAAATCAAAGGGATTTATATTATCAGTTCTAATCAGGATTTAATCTGGAAAGCATAGCATTGAGTTAAATCTTGCTTTGCATTCATTATCATTGCTTTTTATGGCTTTTGTAGCCTTGAGAAAAGGTATTGATCTGCAATGATGTATAAACTTCAAGCTGCGGTATCAAGTGGTGCAAGGAATTACTGTGAAGGTGATTAATAGAAGATACTGTGAACAAAGGAGATGCAGTAGTAGAAACAAAATAGGGCAGAATCACAGGATATGGCTTTTTTTTTTTTTAAGGTGTTTTTGGGGGAACTCGAGGAAGCTCTCAGTAATGTTTCAAGCTGCTTGAAGAAGATTCAGAGATCAGTACCATGTTCTTTTAGGCATTCCATGTGTGGAGGATGTAATGTACTGCTTTGAAGATACTTGATGTTTCATAGAACTCTTGATTTACAGCATATACTGAGAAGATAAGACATATACAATTTACATTTTGCAAAGTATAGAAGTTGCAGTACCCAGTTCAATCACAATATCAGTGTGATTCCCCTTATCTGTATATGCTCATGGTTGTGATGCTGGGCAATTCCACTTGCTGGGAAGCAGTATGTGGGTTGAAGCCAGCTCAAGCCTGATGCTCTTTTCAAAATTATTTTCAAGATTGTTCATTTTTTATACTCTGAAATGTGTCTTGTATTCACTAGCCTGGTACTGGTGTAGCTATCTAAAAGGGACAGACATTCACATGCTGGTAGGGAGAAACATCTACACTATCAGCTGATCTACTCAACTGATGACAGGGCTGTTTGTTCAAAGCAAAGGCTATCTCCAGTCCCCTTTGTGTTGAGATACTCAGGTTTTTTTTTGTTTGTTTTTCTTTTTAACAGTGGCTTTAATCAGTCACACCCTGCATTATTCCCTGAGCTTCATGGGCGAATTGCTTTTGCCCATACACTGAGCCTTCTTTTGTTTTCAAGTTTTACTGGTCTGACACACTACTCAATCCACTATGTGTGGAGTGAGTGAAAAATATAGTTTTCTGAATTTACCAGTCCAAGTATGTTTCTTCTCTAAGGGTGACAAACTTTAAACTCAGTTAATGGCTTGTTTAACTTTCTGTTAGTATTTATTCTGTGACAGCTTGCTTCTTGGACCTAGGCTTCATCAAGAGGACAGGGCTATACCATGTAAGCACCAGCTGCAGTTTCTAGTGAGTCTAGTAGCAGACTTGTGCCCGCAGGAATGAAGCCTTAGTCCTTTCATCTTCCTATTTTCACACTTCCCTTGTAGCCACATGCTTCATCCTTCCTGTATGCTATTTCAGGCCCTCATCAGACCCTCACATGAGCAACTTTAATCCACCTAGTGCATCAAATGGTTTCTTCTCTTTTTTGTGTGTTTTCTCCCACACTAGTGAATTAAATCTGCTTTTAAAAAAAATTGTGTGCTGCATGTGAGAGCCAGCACACAAAAGTGGAGAGCAAGGAGCTGGGATTGACACATTGCTTTTAGCTTTAGGGGCTTTTAAACTGTTCCTTTGTGAAGCTGCATTCCAAAGTGTAAGTGAGAAGAGACCTTGGCCTTGAACAACTGATAGTAAGCAGGCATGGATGGATAAGGCATCTTGCATAATCTTAGCAAAGTGTTTCCTTTTCCTCCTGTTTCCATGGTTGGCAGTCATGTGGTCTGCAGCTTAGGAAGTCGTGACAGTATTGACTTTCCAAGGGAGCACATGACTGAGTTGCATGTAGTTGTTATTTTGATGGATATTTAACAGAGTACTTGGTTTTGTTGTTTTGTGGTTGAAGCTTTTCTACCTTAGACAAAAACTGTTCCAAAAAATGGCATCCAGGCAGCAAATATATTAACACAATCTAATGTCTTCTGAATTGAGATTGGATTTGGAAAAGCAATTGTGTTATTAACATGAAGAGATGAGCTTTAATATTTGTCCCCAGCTGAGTATTCCTAAGCATGTAAACAATATGGGTGCCACCTCTACCCTTTCTACAATACTTCTTCAATTATGAATCAAGAGCTGCTCTTTCCTGCTAATATATGAACTGGAATCTGCTCACTTTCCCTTCTTTGCCTGAAGATCAAATGTAGGGACCCAAATTTAGGGACTGTATAGTTAGAACCTGCTGGTTATATGGATACTTTATGGCTCTTGTTTCTAGTGTTCCTGTTTCAGTACTGCTAGCAGGAGCTATAAGCAATGCAAATTAATTACATAACATCAGAATATTATTTCCTCCCCTTCCTTCCCTCTGAGGTCTGCAATTGTACTGTGGTCAGTTTCCTTAGCAGTGTCTGTTGACTGAGTTGTATCATTTTGAATATATTGTAGCCACCACTTGTTTGGAGGTGAACATATCAGAAATGTTTTTTTTCATTGCTCTTTGCTTATTATTTTGGATGTTTGCGACCTCCATTTCTTTGGATTTGGCAAAGCAGTTTGTTGTGCCATTTTTCTGGCAGTCTTCTGGTGGTAGTGGCAAATCTTACTTGCATGATTTTTTGCAGGAAAATATAAGTGAAAACAACACTTAATTTAAAGAGTCTAATGATGAACTAATGATTGTTTTTATACTTTGGTTTGCTTTCCTCTGCTAGGTGCACAGCTGGGAACTGTTGTCTCTCTGCCACTGTCTGGTTTAATTTGCTACTATATGAACTGGGTTTACGTGTTTTACATATTTGGTAAGAGTTTTTATTATTAAAGATATGATCCATATTCTTTTTGAAAGCCATGGTATATTGTTTATTACCTCTTGTATGAAACTTATTTTAAGTTCTTAAAAATATGTTTGACATGTTGGGCTGTCATTTCTTTTTCTCTTTGGGAGGTAGAGATATTTAATGCAAGTGAGTTCCTTTGCATGGATATGTAAGCTTTGCTTCCAATCAGCAAAGATGTCTTCGAGTTGGACAGAAGCTGGTACAAGACAAATGTTTTCAGCATTCCCTCCACGCAGAAATAACAGGCTGGAATTTCTTACTTGAAGTGTGAAATTGAGTTAATAATGTTAATCCCAGGAGTGAATTTCTACTCTGCATGAAATAACATGTGAAAAGTTACTGCTGCTTTAAATGGAGACTGTGTGTAATATCTCTCTAGCAGTCACAGGAACTCTGAAAGAATGTCCAAAATGCAAAGCATAGCATGTTTACTGTGAGCTGTGTTCTAGAAGGAGCTCAAACATAATAAATTTTCTGATAAGATGTTACAGATCAAACTGATGCTTTTTATTGGCCTGTTTACATTTCTAAGCTGTTTCATGTTCTCCATAGCGAAAAGAATCAGAATAAAACAGAAAGCTTATACTTTGTTCATCAAGACATGCTCTTGATTTTTGTGTAATTAGAAAACAGAACTAGGCAAAATGAAAAAAGTTACACTGGTTGTTAAGTAAAAATACAGTCATACAGTTATTGAAAAGTTAACTTTTTCAAATGATAGTTCTGGAAGCTTTGCTTAAAAAGGAAAATAAATGCTGGTACATCAGTTAAGCTATATATTATAGTGATACTCTGTACGTATGCATGCTAAGGGTTTTTTGAGATTAAATTCCTCTGTGTGAGCTGTATTCTTCATGGCTGTTCTATGTGACAAATAAAAATACAACATGTATGTGTATGCATTTTCCTTGCTCTACAAGGCACTTCCTAGAGGGGAGGACAAAACAAAACAAAAAAAGAACAAACATCACTTTCCTAAAGTCATCCTTTACTACTTACTGTATTGTTAAGCCACTTGGGGGGAGTAAGTAGAGAGAAAGTTTTTCCAAATACTTTAATATAATTTTAATGGATATTATTTTTTCTCAATTATCGGAGAATATTATTCACTCAATGGAATTGATTCTGTTTTTATTTATACCTCTTCATCCATCTTTTTCCAATAACAGGTGCCCTTGGTGTATTGTGGTTCTTCTTCTGGATGTGGCTGGTTAGTGATAAACCAGAAACTCACAAGAGTATTTCACGTACTGAAAGGGAATATATTCTTTCTTCTCTAAAAGACCAGGTATAGCACATTATTGTAATCATGTCTACATAAGTAATAACATAAACTACAGGTATTGTTATTAGCATAATGCTTTAATGTCTAGAAAAACATCACTAATCTGCGATGAAGACAGAGTATGTCAAGAAAAGAAAAATATGATGCAATTGTGCAAATGACTAAAACTGATAGTTTAGCAAAGCATTTATAATAATGCTTTTTGTTACAGCTACTATTCTGATGTTATTTTAATGACAAGAAAGACAACTTGAGTTTTTTTTAATAACGAAAATAGACCTGTATGATGTCTTAAAAATCTGTGAAACAACATTTTCAACATGCGTCTTCTATGATAGAAAAGAGAGAGAGTATTATTTTCAGGGAAAACATTTTGGAGAGGCTATTATGAGCCTGTTGACTGAGGATACATGTTTCTAAGCTGTGAAATAGTCTGAATTAATATTTAGGACTGAGTAGGAAAGATTCAGCCAAATGCATGAGGACTGACCTTAAACATTTGATTATTTATGGTAAAAACAAGAGGCAACAAATCACTGTAAGGGAAGGCATATATTATATTATATCTGTATACTTAAAAAAAATTCTCATTACAAAGTGTAAAAGTGATTGTTCAAACTGCAGTAATTAATAACAGAGCAGTAACATGCATGAGTATATCTTTAGTGAGAAAGTAACAGTAATTTCATCATTACTGTTTAATTCATCTGTTGCTATGAACTCACACTGTGTCCTTCTGAATGAGTGATCACCGTGGATTTGAGGTAGGATAACAGCATCTGTAGTAAAAGTTCATCTTGATGTTCTAATTTTTTTTTTTCTCGTTTCCTGCTTGCTAGCTCTCTACACAGAAATCTGTTCCCTGGAGACCTATACTGGAGTCCCTTCCACTCTGGGCTATTGTTGTAGCCCATTTCTCCTATAATTGGACTTTCTATACACTTCTCACACTCTTACCCACATACATGAAGGAGATCCTGCGGTTTGATGCACAGGAGGTGAGATAAATAATTAAGAAAGTAGTTACTATAATTAACTATATTTATATAGTTGTAGTAACGATACATAGTTATATAGTTGTAATAATTAACTATAATTAATAGTTTCTATATTAACCTGTTTAAGAAAACTTTTAATGTAAATTTTTAGTTTGGAAATGGTGAAATAATTCCCCATAATTAAGCAGCTACATCTACAAGGTTATGTGCATTGAAGCTTCCATTGGATTTCAGAAATTATTTAACATTTAACTTAGCAATAGCATTTTGGATCATTTTTTCTGTTTAAAGATGGATTTGAAACAATAAGTATATTTAAAATATATATATATATATATTTCTATTACAAAACAGTAACTATAAAAAAAGACCCATATTTCTGTTACATGGTTTTCATGATTGCCTCAAAACTTACAGCTTACTTTATAGCTTCAGAAATCTATCCACTTTTTTGCTCACTCATGAAAAGCACTATTTTTCTTTTAATTGGAAATTAAGAGTATCATTGGGTAAGTGACATTGTAAATGTTTTAAGGAGGGGCTGGAGAAAATAACACTTCAGTCTGATTGAATCCCATTCCAAATAACTACTTTCTTTTCTTTCTTCAGTGAGCAGCAGATACAATGCTGTATCTTTGCACAGTGCTTCAATTAAATTGCTTCTTTGTTGTTGTAACTGAGACTATCATACTTTTCAGAATTTTAGTTGTTACTCTTGAAAGCTTAGCATTGAAATCCAGCCGGCAGCATATTTGAATGCTGAGAGAGTGGAACATGTTTATGGTCTCATGTCAAATTTAATGGCCTAGGGAACCTCTTACTTTCTTTGCCAAATATACTTGTCCATCCAGATACTTCATTTTAACCACAGTTTAGGTTAAGTTCTACTGTGCTGCTCAGTAGAACTTTTTTTTCCTTCTTCAGAAGAAAAACATGCAGTTTCAGGCAGAAGTCACTACTAAGCAACTGTCCTTTAAAGAAAGGGAAGTTAGCAGGTGACAGCAGTGTAAATAATGGCAGATCCTGAATAATAGGGCCATATAATGTTCAAACTGAATCTAATGAAAGTCCTAATTCTGTATCTTGTCTGATTATAGCCAGTATCAGATGTGTCAGCATATAGCTGTGGGATAATACGCTGCTGAAACTATTGAATCTAAGATCACAGACTCCATAACTGCTTTCAAAATTCTGACTAATAGTTACAGCTTTCACTTACTTTAAGTATCTTGTGCCATATCTGATCTGAAGGTGCTCTTTCAAAATACTTGCGTGATCAAGTTCATGACCACACAATATTTTGCATAGTTTCCTTTTACCTGATCCCAGTTCCTGGTTTAAACCTTTGAGTTCTTCAGCTGACTGCACTGGTAGTTACAGATTATGTTGTACAACCAAGAGTTTACACATCAGTAACTAAAATGCTTTATCTTTTCTATCCTTGGGCTTCTTTCTTACAGAAAAACCAAGTGTAGTTGCATAGATGGATGGTCTTGACACTCGTGACTCAGACTTTCTTAATGCTCCAAGTCAAATGATTTTTTCATCACGTTGAATTGTCATTTTAGTATTTGAACTGTCTTTTCTTTTTGTCTCAACAGAATGGCTTTTTATCTGCGCTCCCTTATTTTGGCTGCTGGCTTTGTATAATTCTGTCTGGGCAAATTGCTGATCATTTACGAGAAAAACAGAACTTCTCCACTGTTTGTGTTCGCAAATGTTTTACCCTAATAGGTAAGTGCAAGGATTGTCTCTATTTAGGAAGACATCATGGGACCAGTCTGGGAAAAGTTAAAGCTTTGAGAGAGAGAAGTGTGGCAGTTTGCTGAGAGATGAGGCAAGGCTGTGCATGGCTTGAGAAGGAGCTGCTCTTCAATTGTATTAATTTTGATAGGGTCTGGAGGAGGAACTGCAGCGTGTCTAGGCTTCTACTTGTTTGGTTAGTAATCTGACATCACCTTGTTTTCTAGTACATAGTATTCCTTTGAATTCTCATGTCTTAAGTCTCACTCACACTTTTCTGACTGCCTTTGGTGGATGTAATTTGTCTTGTCATGTTTAGTGCTGTTTTAACTGATGGACATACGTTATCCTCTACTCTGCCCAGCCCTCAGGCCAAGGGTTTTTTTTTTTGTTCTGACTTTTCCACTGACCATAGAGATACTCAACATACATATTCAAAAATTAACGCAAGTAAATCAAATCCCAACTGGTACTCTTTCTGACAAAGGGTTCTAAAACAGAATGAGAGTGTAGAGGAGGGTATTAGTGAAAGTCACAATGAGAAATCCAGAAATACTAATTGATTTTACACTTCTTTTTTTTTAACTGGTGGTGGTGAGCATGACTTAAGAACAGAGCCATGACTGTACCATTGTAGAAACAGCAACGTGTCCTAATTCGGTAGTGGTTCAGATACAGAAAATACAGGCTGTTATAACGGCGCTGCTGGTCTGATAGCTTTGAACAATGTGTTCTTTTTATTCTACATGCATTCTGTCCTGTTCTTCCCTCTCCCCCCCAAAAAATTGGAATATAATTCTTTTCTTACTGAAGAGTATTGAACTCCTCAGTAGTAATGTAGAACTCATGTGCACTTAATATCAGTCATTAAGAAGGCAAGAGATAATTCATCTTGGTGAATTTTCTAAAAATATCATGAAGTGTAACCTAAGTACTGCAATATATTAAGCTCTGTAGCATTATAGTAAAAGGTAATAACAGCTGAAGCAAATGTGAGAAGACAAAAGTTGATGTAAACTGTCTCTTGATTTGAAGTAGTAATTAGTTTCCAAATAAGAACAACTTTTTGACTTTATGTGAATGTGATTGTTCACCTGTATTGTCCCTAGCTTCTCATGTTAAATGTAATCTTAACAAGATGACAGTCTACATCAAAAATGGCCATCTTTGCTACTAGATCATAGATGTTATGCGTTTCACTTCACATTTAAGAAATTATGACTTGTAGAGATGGGTGGAATATTTAGTGCCTTCTCTGATTCTTCAGAAGATTGTTGACAGAATTAAAGGAGTTAAACTAGAATAAATAACAAAACCTGAGGTGACTGTAAGATTGAGGCATGTATTCTAGTTGGCAAGACAATGATGAAATGCTACAATACTTGGGAACGTAGCCTGCAGTCTCTGAAGTTTTACAGTTGTCTTGTGAGAGTGAACAAAGAGCATCATAAATACTATCTTTTTCTTTAAAAAAAAAACAAAAACAAAATAAAAAACACTAAAAAGAGCCATTTCTAGTAATTGTAGTCATCAGAGAAACATAAACCTTACTGTCAGTGTGGATACTCTTAGGAAAAGAGGAATGGGGAGAACATTGCATGAATTTGTCAGGAGTAAATCCTGCCTTTTTTTGTAATGAAGTAGAAATACTGGAGAAAGAAATAACCAGAGATAGCCAAAAGATTCATTTAGACCAAAACATATCATTATTAAAAACATATCATCTCTCAGTTAGAGGATATCATTCAACATGAGCCTGTGTTGCTCAGTGTTTATTTTATTTAAGACTCAGGTAACTGAATGGGGAATTCGCTTGCCAGATTTACAGTGCTACCAGGATGAAAAAACAAAGTAGAATCCAAGACCAAAGTGATCTTGACTGATGGGAAGGAGATCTGAAGTCAGAAAGATAAAGCCTTTACTAAAAAGGAATAAAAGGATGTATTTAGAGAGAGTGGTTGATAGCCGATTAAAAGAGAAGGAAAGGGGGAAAGATCAGGCACAGTATCCACTCAAGTTGCAGCCTACTTGATATATCTCCATCACTGCACTTAATTTTCTGCTTTTTCAATTCTGCTGATTGAGTTGCTCGCTTTAAAGCAGCTCGTCTAACAGACTCTCGAGTATTTTTGTTTTCATAGGCCTGTTCAGTTCTGGTGATCTGGTTTTACAACCGGCCTTCACACCTATGTCTGTACAACCATGGGGAAAACATGCTGTTGCACAAGGAAAGAGTGGGCTTTTAAGGGTTTTGTTGATGAAGCCAGCATTTTTTGGCATGTATTTGGAACTGGTTTTGGAGTTTGTGATGAAGTTGTGTAACTAGCCAGCTGTGGTATGGGGAAATGGAGTGCCAAAATTAACTGAAGAAAGGATGATGGCTATTATGCCAACTAAATTGTTTCCAGTTTCTGAAGCTGGGAACTGGGCTTGTTTGTCTTAGAAAAGAGAAGGCTCTGGTGAGACCTCATGGTAGCCTTCCAGTACTTGAAGGGAACGTATAAACAGGAGGGGGAGCAGCTGTTTTACTAGGGTTGATAGTGATAGGACAAGGGAGAATAGTTTTAAACTGAGATGGGAGGCTTAGGTTAGATATTAGAAGGAAGTTTGCCACTCAGAGGGTGGTGACGCACTGGAACAGGTTGTCCAAGGAGGCTGTGGATGCCCCATCCCTGGAGGCATTCAAGGCCAGGCTGGATGTGGCTCTGGACAGCCTGGTCTGGTGGTTGACAACCCTGCACATAGCAGGGGGGTTGAAACTCGATGGTCACTTCAGTTCTTTTCAACGCAGGCCATTGTATGATTCTAAATCTCAAAAGTTAGCCTGGTTCTCTAAGATGTACAGCAGGCTCTGGTGTAGACATACCAGATATTCAGATATTAAACATGACACTCATTCTAAAAGGTGTATGTGGGAGATCTATGTATGTATTTATATGAAATCTTCCAGCTCTACTTTGTTATGATTTGCAGAAGTCCCTGTTGGCTCCTGAAACAGAGACTTAAATGGGAGTAACTTCCTCGCTGTGCATTGTTCACCTGGCAGTCTCAGTGCAGAGTCTAATGTTTATGTAATGATAAATAAAATGAGCTTGTGACGTTACTTTCACTATCCATTGATTTTTGGTTTTCCAGATGAAGTTTGTTCTTTCATGCTAGAATAGGATTTTTCTGGTTTGTGCAATGTTTCCCAAGACCGCCAGAGGTTTGCCACCGATCTGCTCTTCTTTGCTGGTCACTGTAATGCACATAGTGCAGTGCTGGATTCTGTGCACTAGGTGGTGTTGGAGATTGTATGTACACATAGCTCAGATCATGTTAATTTTCTGGCATAAAGTCCCTTAATTGTAAAATTTCTGTTTTAAAGGAATGATTGGACCTGCAGTGTTCTTAGTAGCGGCTGGGTTCATAGGATGCAACTATGAGCTGGCTGTTGCTTTTGTGACCATATCAACAACACTAGGAGGGTTTTGTACGTCTGGCTACAGCATCAACCATCTGGACATAGCACCTTCGTAAGTATTGCTGAACCTTTTGTTACTGATTGGATACATTTATGATCATTTCTTCTGTGTTCTTGGAGTGCCTAGGAGCTTGTATTTGAAGGGGGGGGGAAATAAACATTGGCAAAAGATGTGGTGTGAACCTTAGAATAACTCAGTTTTTGATCCTGGAATAATAAATAATTGCTGGAATTATATTTACTAGGATTTTGCACTATTTGATTCATGATATTAGTTGAATTGCAGTGTTACAAACACACTGTCCTATTAAATGGTTCACCCTTTGAAACTTTTCTATCGGAACTACCAAACTTTAATTTGAGTAAACCATTTTAAGTTCCAAAATGCAGGCAAAATTTTTTTGAAAATCATAGTGGTGTTTAAAAGTATATTTGGACCTGTTATCACTAGATGATGAATCCTGTATGTACTATTACTCCTAAGTGATGAAAAGTTTAACTTCAGTTTGAATCTTCTCTTGCATTACAAATTCAGAAACTGACTGATCCATCGATTTCCTCAAAAGCACAGTTACGTGTATATTCTTTTGGACTTCTAAGTGGTAAAAGTCCCGTACTTTGCTCTGTTGTTAATTTACCTGTTTGCAATACTACTTGTGTCTGAGCAGGATCAGATTACTTATGACTTCATGACCAATGAAGAGGGTTTTTATACTAATGTGTGAGATACTAATGAGTGAAAATAGTTTATCTCTGAGCAAAGAGGAAAAAAATTGTAGAGATTTTAACTAGAAAAAATCCTTAAGAACTGGGCCACTTATAGGAGACCTCAATTCCAAGGTGAAAATGGCATCTAGGCTTTGGCAATTAAAAAGATGGTCATTAGGGGCTACAGGGATGGACAAGATTTGACTGAAGAGAAGTATATGAAACAGTGGGAGTGAAATTAAACTTGGCAGATTAGATGAGGTAGCAAGCAAGAAGGAAGACACCAGTATCTAGCTGTAAAACGGTGTTGACAATGAATTGAACAGGAAAGTATAAAGAGCAGCATCTGTGATGCTTTGTTTCATATAAAATAGAATTATGAATACAGAAGATCTAGTTAAATCATCGTGCCTGGCATTTTATGGGCCCATAATGTAACATCTGTTGCAAGTTTAACTTTGCTAAAAATGTAAAGCACTGGCTAGGATTTTGTTTGTGTTTAAAACCACAGAATATAAGCATTAAAGGCAAAAAAAAAAAAAAAAAAAAAAAAAAAAAAAAAAAAAACATTATTTTTGTGAGTTATTTTATGGCAGAACTTGGATGTCTGTGCAGCTTTGATTTGTCTCCTTGTCTGTGCATTGTGAATATCTTTGTGTTTATAGAGGAAAACTGGCATCTATTCCTAAGCCCTCTACCTTTTCTAGCATATAATGGCTGAGACTGGGCATTACAGAAGAAAAGAAGGGGCACATTTAAGGTAGCTGAATGTTACCAGGAATTAATTCCTTTCATTGCTCTGTCATGGAGTTTGCATGTAGTAAGTCAGTTGGTCAAACTCTTCCATGACAGTCTGTTTAAACCCTATAACTTCAGGAAGTTGCTCTTTTAAGGGTTCTTCAGTCATAAAGAGGGATGGGCTCTTCTTGAAGGTGTTTCAGACCACCGTAATACGTAAAGGGAATCTGCTGCAACTTGAGTCTGAACTTTAAAAATATCTACTGAAAAGCTAATTCCGGACCCAGTGACACTAACTGAGGCCTAGCTGATTTATCGCTTCTTTTCTGGGTATGTCTCTTCAAGCTCTCAAGTCTAGTTTGCAAAAATGAAAATACTGAGTGTTGACCAAAGTCAGTAAGAGCTGTACTCTGAATGTAAGAACAGTGTTGTTAAATATTCTCCAGATGAAATCCTGAGGACCTCAAATCAGTCACTGAGTAGGTGCATATGTTGTTGGCCTATGTTTTCATTCCTAGTTTATAGGATGTGTATCACACTGTGATCACTGTCTCTCAAGAGTGTTGTGGAAATAAACTGATCTTGTGAAAAGTGCTACTCAAAAGACCTTGGATTGGTTAAAATTCTGCTTGCGACAATTGAATCAGATGCAGAAATTAAGAGAGGAAAGCTTTACTGGGCAGGAATGTGGCCAGTGTAGATGCTGTTTTATTGAAATCAGTAATTCTGTATTAAGCACATGTATGCTTTCTTTTGGGGCAAATAAGCCCAATGAAGACAGAAGGGAAAGGACATGTTCTTGTAATAAAAGTCATAGGAAAAAAAAGTCTTCAAATACAGAAATACCGGAAAGTCTAAGATGAAATAATAATAATTTTAAAAAAGCTTTTTTCCCCCCTACTTAACTTTCTGCAAATGTCTGAGCTTTATTGGATGAAATGGCCATGGCAGGCATTTTCAACTGAGGTGAAAAAAGTGACATAGGTGTCTCAGAACAGGATATACATCTCAGAACAGGATGTACATGAACGTGTAAAAGAAACCTCTGTTAAGAGTTTACCCAGAACTTGATACTTTTTTCTTTTAAAACATATTAGAATAACTAGAAGTGATTCAAAGCAATTTCAAAATGCACTTTGATTCCTGTTTGCATTTTTTTTTTTAAGGTAAGCTGATTAGGATAGCAAAGGGTCCTTTCTTGGTACTAAAATTTGTGTTATACTGAAGAAATAATGATTATATTCTCAGGAAAAAAATAATGAATGAAAATACTGATGCTGGAGAAAAAAAACCAAAAACACAGAGCAAATATTTTTTCTAACACACATTTATGAGGCCATAAGTAGACTGAATTGTTGAGTGTGGAGCAGAGGGGTAAGATAGTTCTACTGAGATTTCCTATTCTAGCTCTCTGAATATCTAGACTACTCTGCAAGTCAATTTTGAATTCGCTTAGACTACTATGCCATAAGATTTCAACCAAGAGCTTACTATTAGTCTTGCTCTACAGATGTGTCACTTTTTTCTTTCCTGTTTCATATTGGAGTCTTCACTGTGCTGACAGAGTGGCATGGCTGTTATCTGTGTTAAACACAAAGTGCTATCAGAATGCAACCTGTCAGAAACAGCGGGCAAAAACAGAGGCATTTAGCCAGCAGTTAATTGTTAAATGTCTATTAAGACCAGAGAAACTATTAAACTGTGGTTAGTTTTGAAAAATTGTATCAGCAGTGCTGTAGTGCTTAAAGATGATAAAGACAATATGTTTGGTTCTGTTTAAAGGCTTTAAAAGGAAGCTTTTCACGTTTTCACATTCAGGTTTGTGAAAGCATATTAAGCACTTTCAGAGAGAAACATGTTACATGCTCATTTGTTTAATAAAATAATAACAATATAATTACAGGAGTGGAGCTCAATTTAAAATATGTAGCAGTATGTATCAGTTTGGAGTATGGCAGGCTTTCAACGCAAGTCAACTAATAGGCTTGATAATTGACTCTTGTCAGGAAAAACACATGTTTTCATAATGTTATTGGGCTGGATACATGCCACAACCTCTTAACCATGTGTATTTGAATTTCCCTACTCCAGAAAATGTCAAAGCTATGTCTCTCTTTAGAGTTGCAATTTCGTATTTCTGTTGTGTTGTCATTGTTAAAACAAAGAGGACACTATTGCACTCTGAAAGCAGTAACTGAGAGAGAGTTCCGTTTTCATAGAAAGCTAGAATGACTTGGGTTAGAAGGGACTTCAAGGATCATGAATCTCCAACCCCCCTACCATATGCAGAGCCACCAACCTCCACATTTAATATTAAACCAGGCTGCCCAGGGTCCCATCCAGTCTGGCCTTGAGCACCCCCAGGAACACCTCCAGGAGCACCTCCATCCACAACCTCTCTGGGCAGCCTGTTCCAGCACCTTACCACTCTCTCTGTAAAGAACTTTTCCCTGACATCCAACCTAAATCTTCCCTCCCTCCCTCATTTCCCCTTGTCCCGCTGTTATCTAGCTTTGTAAAGAGTTGACTCCCCTCCTGTTTATGGACTCCCTTTAGGTACTGAAAGGGTGCGATGAGGTCACTCTTCAGCCTTCTCTTCTCTAGGCTGAACAAGCCCAGTTTCCTCAGCCTGTCTTCGTAGCAGAGGTGCTCCAGTCCCCTGATCATCTTTGTAGCCCTCCTATGGACCCTCTCCAACATCTCTCTGTCTTTTTTGCTCCAGAACTGGATGCAGTGTTCCAGATGGGGCCTCACAAGAGCAGAGTAGAGGGGGACAATCACCTCCCTGTCCCTGCTGGCCACCTCTCTTCTGATGGACCCCAGGATACCATTTGCTTTCCAAGCTCCAAGTGCACTGCTGGCTTGTGTTAAGTTTTTCATTCACCAGGACACCCAGGTCCTTCTCTGCAGGGCTACTCTCAAGGATTGCTCCACTCAGTCTGTATATATGCCTAGGATTCCTCCGGCCCATGTGCAAACTTTGCACTTTGCTGTGTTGAACCTCATTAGATTCACCTGGGCCCGCCTTTTGAATCTGTTGAGGTTTTCCTGTAGTAAAGTACAACTGATAATAGTATTTTATGTGATTGTTCAAATAACAAACCTACCTTGAAGATCTTGAATTACAGAAATCTGCTCTCTGGTGGCTGGAAGGTTGAGTTCAGATGTAAAATGTCTAGCTCTTTTTTCTCTTGAGACTGTGACAAGTCTATGCTTGTGCTGCTGTTTCAAACATGACTTTTTGGTATTGCAACATTCCTATTCTATGTTTAATTGCACAGAGATGAGGTGCTGAGACTTAAATGTTAAGCAAGTTACCATTTTTTTTCCCAGCAAGTTTATATGGCCGCGGGTGCATGTGCATGCATGTGTGTGCTAAAGCAGAATGTTCATAGAGGAGGGAGCCTCAGAATGGAGCTGCAAGAATGGCAACAAGTAGAACAGGTTGAGTCAGACATGTTTCCCATTGGCCTTGACCCATGGAAAGCTGAAGGGAAGGACTGGTGGAGAGCTCTGTGAACTCTTGCCTTCGGAACAGCACTCTGTAGTGTAGTGGGGATATCCATCCAGATTAGGGATAATTGCCTTTTTGGCAGTGTTACCTGAAGCATCTCTCACTGTTGCCAAATAGTGCTCTGTCATATTCTTTGTTGTTTTTCCACTTCAAGGCATGCAGTGTTTCTTTTTTAACTTTTCTGGTGGATCCATTCCAGACAGTTTGTTTGTGGCTTAGCAAGGGGGTTGTGGTTTTGGATTATGGATTCTAAGCAGAGTGTGAGTAATTCAAGTAGATTCCCTAACTGGCCCCTGGAAAATGAAGACATATGTCATGAATTGTCAGAGACGTTACTAGAACAGAAGCAACTTATTCCCACTTGTGTTTTAACTTGCATGTGTGATCAGGGTGAAACCTGTGTGATCCAATTAGGCAAAATTATTTCTGTGACTGATCAGCAAGAAAAGTTCATAAGCAGTGTTGTCAATTTCTCTTACAGATATGCTGGAATTCTTCTTGGGATCACAAATTCTTTTGCTACTATCCCAGGAATGGTGGGACCAGTTATTGCTAAGAACCTCACTCATAATGTAAGTCAATTTACTGTTTGGGTTTTTTTTTCTTTATGACATTATTTTTATTTTCACTGAATGGCAATTCTCTTCTCTCAAGTCTGCAGCCATTAAGTTATATTTAACATATACATGCAAAATAAGACAAGCTCTTACTTGTTTTCCAGAATTGTTCTCTCACATGAGGTTGGGACTTGTAAAGTCAGCACTTGTCAGATGAGCCATAAACTAGATTCAAATGTGTAGTTTTCATAATGCACCCCTGTGTATGTACATTGTGTGATTAGGATGCTCTATGCTATGCTATCTTGCTTCTAAATTAAACAGCATTCAATCTGACCTCCAAGATTGTTTAGTCAGACAAAGGGTGATATAAAGTAGAAAGTATGATCGAAATGTTATTTGAATACTTTTCTAAGTAAACTATATAATTTTTTCTAAAATGTTTTAAGAAAAAGTGAAAAGTAAGTTTATTGATACCGATAAACTTTTGGAGTTGGTAGTCAGTCATTTCCTTAAAAATAATATGAAAATATTAGTTAGCGTGTGAATCCGAACAAATTAGCTTCTTCCAAATTCATGACAAGTGCTGGCATTATTTGTGTTGAGGTTTTTTGTTTGCTTTTCCTCTCATCCTAATGCACTGCTCTGATATTACTCTGTTTTTTGTAGTAAGATCATTTATGGTTTTGGTAGAATATACATTTGTTATTTAAAAACACAATAAAAATTGAAAACAAACAAACTTCCTAACACATCTGTATATGTAGCTTCTTTGTTACTACAAACACAGCTCTTCACTGTCTGGTTTGAGTAAAATTCACACATGGCTAAAAAAAAAAACTTACCATTCTGGAACAGAGACATTGTACTCATTAAGAATAAGTTACTGCTTTGCTTACTTCATCTCTTGGGTCGTCTGACCAGAAAGCAAGGGCATGTTTCTTGTTACAGTAATGTTCTCTGAGTTTGCAAAGTCTTCATGAAACTGCGAATTTAGATATGAAGGCTGTGCATCTCAGTGATCATCTGATCCAGACAGACAGCCCTATCAGAAGTATATTGACTTTGTAAGATGTACTGTTAAACTGAAGTAGACTAAAATGATAATTTGTTTATAATGTCTTATGCAATGTGACTTCATAGAAATAGCATTTATGTTTAAGTAGGCATATAGCATCTCTTTTAAAAAAGTACATTTTTTTCTTGAGTGTGGAGCTGCAAATTAACTGTATCTTTTTCTGTTTTTTTTAATTCCTCTCTTTGACAGAATACTGTGGGAGAATGGCAGACAGTTTTCTATATTGCTGCTTCCATTAATCTATTTGGAGCAATTTTCTTTGCATTATTTGCAAGTGGAGAAGTTCAGGACTGGGCAGTCAGTGGTTATCACTTCCATAGAAACTGAAGGAGGCATTGAAATACCAAAGCTGTGCTGAATCCCAATGTGCTAGAACTACGTGACCAGAAAAGTGCCTTCCCAATTGATGCCTAGGAATCTTCAGAGCTTTTAAGTTAAACTATTTTATCTGTGTATCTTTTGTACTGAAAATCATTTGACAATGTATGTGTGTGCTATTTCCAGACAAGAGACTACTTAGATTAAATTGAATTTAGTTTCATGCTAGAACTTGATATCAAATGTATGATCAGAGACAGCATTTCAAATCAGTGTACTAAGATCCATTTCCTTCCAGTTCTTAATTAATGTCTTCTGAATTAATGTTTAGGCAAATATTTGCTGATACCGAAATAAGAGGAAAAAACCAAGGTGATTATGTAGCACTGTGAGGAGGAGTGACATGCAAATAATTGTACACAAAAAGCAACATCTTGATTTCTGTGATGATATTAATAGGTTTTTGCTTTTTAAAACGCTAAAAGATTTCTAGTCTTCTACAATCTCTACAATCTTTTGTAAACTTTTATTTTGTTAGTGTTCTAATTGATGTCTAAGAAATGCACACTTGATTGTTACTCTATTTTACGCACAAGTTTTCAAATGGAAACATTCCCTGTTTCAGGACTACAGCTTCACAATTAATACAGAGCAGTGAGGAAGTGAAACATACGATTGTGACTGACAGAATAAGCCATGTGTTACTGTTCTCTGTGGTGCAGGTGTTTTTAAATAGGCCTTATTTTTATTCAAAAATGTGCAAAGAAGCAGCAGTGCAACTCTGTACACTGCCTAGATTTAAACCACAAGAGTGAACTAGAAATAGAATATCGACATGTTTACATGATGATAACTTTCAATTTGGCAGTTCACTTTTTTGTCAGTTAAAATCAATGCAGTGGAATTATTTCTTCTTTCACGTATATATATCTATATGTATTTGTCAGCTTCACAGTGTAAATGCAATCAAATAAGGCTATTGTAGGGAATAAATAAGGAAAATCAGTTCACTTCTGCAATAGCTTTGTCGGGTAGAATAGAAAGAATTAGTGCAATATCCTGATGCTATTAGTCTCCCGTCAGCATAGAATTTGACACTCAAGAGCATTCTTTGCACAACGTACAATTAAATGCCACACTAGGATTAAATGAAGTCTGTTAAAACAGTGGCCTAGATAAGAACAAATGGCTGAATAATCTTGTAGTCACAAAGCAAAGGAAAATTCCTGTGCCAAAGATTCCTGGATTGGAGCAACTAGGTAAAAAAGAAAAAAAAACACTGGGCTCTGGGCTTTTCGTTTACCACCAGTGCAAAAGAAAAGCCCAGTACTAACACTGCTCCAGTGGAGCCTACCTTCCTTCATTTCTAGGAAATGGCATCTGCCTCTTCTTTTTAGCTTTAAGAGCCATTTTGTTTTGACCTTACTTGAAGTGTCGTGTTCTCTGATGGTGAAACTATGTTAAAATCTGTTTGTCCGCGGCATTTCCACAATAAACAATGTGAGCTTCAGATGAAATTAGTGGTTGTTCAGTGGGAATATGTTAAAGCTATGTTGAATCTTCAGCAATTCCACAGTAAGTGGAACAAATATTTACATGTGCATCCATTGAAAATAACCATCTCCCTGAAGTTAGAACTCCATCCTCAAAGTACTCTGAACAAGATTGGTAACTGGATTAAGAGATGATTAATATTTCCCTGGGAAATCACCTGCTTCAGGAATTTCTTGTCCAGCTTTACAAGTGAGTACTATCATCTTTCTGATAATATATTAAAAATAGTAACTTTGCTTTGTGTCCGCAGAAGTTTATGCTTTTTAAGTTTGAGTTTTTTAATCATTTAATTTACTTATTAAAGTCAAAGTTACTGAAAAAGCTAAATGAGGTATGAGTTAATTTATGGTGTCGTAATATTTTCAGTTAATACTTTCAGTTTGGCTTTCTAAGTTGCATGCACATACTTCTGGCTTGTGTTGAGCTTTTCATCCATTAGTATCCCCAACTTCTTCTGCACAGAGCTGCTATTGGTGTTTCTATCACATTGTCAAGATCCTGTTGGCACAGTCCTCTCATTCAGTTTCATCTCTGATCAGAAAAGTGCTAATGATTTCTGAGTGCCTCTGTTCTCACTGACAAGGGATCTTGACTAAAAATGGTCAGTTTCTTGTGGTGACTGATTTTTTTCTTTCCTGAAAACAAACTAAAATGATTATTTTTTTGCTGCATTTCCTTAACAGATATACCAGAGTAAAAAGGTGTGTTCTCCATTCCATCAAGAATCTTAATTAGGATGTCTACGTGGAATGAGGGAAGTTGTATCAAAAATCAGATCGTGCCCATTTCAAAGCAGAAACTGAAGCACTGCTTTGGAAGCTTGTCTTAGTGTTGCCAGATACTTCTCCTCAGTGTTTCCTTCTGACACAGTTTTGCTTTAATATTTCACAGAACATTCAATATAAAGCTCTACCAGTGTCAGAAACAGATGCAGTTGCACTTAGCAAAATATCCTACAGCATGTGTTCTCAGTATTGATCTGAGATCTGAACTATGGCTTTTTTCAACCTGGAAAAGTCCCTTCATCACTCTTCTCAAAAAAAAGACCAAAAACTAATTGGTTTTTGTTGTTGTTGTTTTTTGTCTTTTCAGTTCATTGTTCATTGTAAGAGGGCTAACTTTTAATCACACCTCTTAAAGTCTTAAGCATTTGTTACCCAAAAACATTACTTAATTTACATAGTCTTATTCAGTGATAAACTAATGAAGGTTTATATAGCTCTTAGTACCACACTGGGTTCCATGCATAGTGCTTCCTCATCTGCATGTTCCTCTGTAACTGGTGACAGCTGTGTTCTCTGTTTGGAACGGTTGTCTTAGTTCATTTTCCATCAGTTGTGTTCACCTGTATTCCATCTTTTTTTTTTTTTCTGGCTTATTTTTTTCATCACTTATTTGCCAGTTTCTCCTCTTCAACTTTCTGTGTATGTTTGATTTCTTGATAAATAAACTAACCTGTAAGTCTAACAAGTCTTCCAATGTTTGTAGTGTTTGCCAAGAAAGAAAGCTCTGTAGATGAGGAAGCCTACACATTACAAAGGTAAGTGAAGCAAAGTTCGTATGTAAGGGCAGTATCTTCTGTTAGAGCAGTTGCAGCTTCTAAAAGAGATGCTTTTAAATATCAAGAGAATACCATCACAACACAGTAATAGCACTGTGTTTTGAAAGACATTAGAGAGAGTACTATCTTAAGGGGGCTTCCCATTTCTCCTGTGTACCTGTGTCTCAAAAAGCCTAATGTCTGCTCTTAAATAATGTGAGGTAAGAGCAGTCAAATCAGTCAGAATACATAAATCAAAATAATAGCTGCTGGCTGACCAAATCCTGTTTTGAGACTTCTCAGTAAAGATGCTCTTAGTGCAGGAGCATTGACCTGAGTTATACTGAAGAAAGTATGTCTGAGGTGGAGCTAATTAGTCATGAATGAGTTGGTACAGATGTGTTTTTGCTATTACTGTGCTTATGAAAGAAAACACCACATTAGTAGTAGTATATATCAATAATGAAGCAGATAATCCTGAACTCATAAAGATGATCTTGTATTTGAGTAGTTGGTTAGCCTCATTTCACTTGCTTTTCTGTAAAGAAATATAATGAGCCATTAATGCATTCGTTTACTCCAAATCAGAGCGTGCTTGAGTCAAATCTAAGTTTTGTAAATCTTCCTACTTTATTCATATAACAATTACTAATATTTCTATGATTTGGTATCTAATAGGCTGTGTGGTTTTACTTCTGAAAACACAGCTTCAGAGAGGGTTTATTTCTTTTTGTTTTATGTGATGGTGTATATAGTCAATTGCAGAAGTAATTCTTGCCATATTTAATGTAAGTAAAACAGTGACTTACGTTTATTTGAATTTCTCGCCCTGTACCCAGTTGAGATACATATAGCCCCAGTAATGGTTTTAGGTGAAGGTGTTAGTTATCCACATTCTGTAAGATTTGCATATCCAGAAGGAACTGCAAGACGACACCAGCAATTATTTAAATCCCAGTGCCATAGCAAGTGGGTGGGGGATACAAAGGCATACAATAAGATAAAGAATAAAAATGTTAGCTTGAGTGAGAATCTAGAGACCCTCACAGTTAGATCACCATTTCAGGTTTTCCTTTCCTCTTTCATAAAATTCTTCCTCTGCTGCCATAATGGTGGTTGGTCATATTTTTATACTGAAACTGTATATATACAATTCAACTTCTCAGGACAGATGTGAGTGAATTTCATCAGCTTTCTATTGTGTAAAAACATTGATCTGATTTAATCTTCGTAATCTCTGAGAAGCTGAAATGTGTATCTAGCCAATATAGTTTTCAAGGATCATAACTCAATTTAGTGAAAATTGTATTTCTTTGGGAGGAAAAAAAAAGTTATTTCCACATCAAATTTCAAGTGTTTGGATATATTAGCTAAGCAAGAGTGTCCTGAAAGAGTGGCTCATATTATTTTTGATAAGTATATTTTCTGTTTCCAAAATAAAAATGTTGATTTGATTTAATTTTGTCTTCTCAGTAGCATGCTTAATAATTTATTCATTGGCTGAGTTCAGGCCTGGATTTGACACAAAACATGAATGCTCAGGTAGTGAAGTTATTAAAAAGATTCGGGTACTGATATGCGTTTTCAAGTGAATGCAATCTGACTCTAGAATAATGGTAACTTTGCTATTATTGCAACATAATCTGCTCCTGGTTACAACACATTGCTAGAGAGGGTGCTTGGGAGTTGCCCAAGGCATAGCAATGGAAATTAAATATAGTTTATTAAGCCAAAATTCTGCTTGCCTTCTCCTGTCTTTAAAGGATAACCATTTGCAGTAGAGTGAAGAGATAATAACAATTCATAAAGCATTCAAAAACTTGGAAGAAATTTTTTTTAGAAATAATTTTTAAACATTTTACTTTCATACAGAAGTTTCCATATGGCTACTTCAGAACAGGAAAAAAATAAATACTAATTTTTCTCCTCTTTTTCTAAATTAAATACAAATGTAGACACTTTCACCTCAGCCAGGCTTGGATGTTATAATGATTTCTGGAGGAAAACATGGTTCTCTTGGTGTTTCTCTGACATCTTCTGCTGATCCATTCCAGCAGTAAATGACTAATAACTTTTCTGAACCATTTTGCTAACTCAGAAGGCAGAGACAGGTTTTTTTGTTGTTGTCAAATCCCCATCTTTTTCCCATTCCTTCCTGCTTGGCCATCTGGGTTTCAGGGCGAACAAGAAGTGACAAGTGCATTCCGTATCTCCAGGTTTAAACAGTCTCTGCTGAAGAGGGAAAAAAGCTTTCCATGTATTCTGAAAAAGGGAATAAAACAAGTGTCCTGTAACAGTTGATAATCTGTTAGCTTTTTAGGAAAAGCACACCGTACTAAAAATTGCAGGTAGCCTTTCTTATAATGTGATAATATAAGGAGAATTACTGCTATGGCTATCTTTAAAAGGATAAAATGAAATGGACCGTATTTTGCAGCTGAATTCAAGACCTAATTCTGCCAGTCCCAGTGGGTGGTAAGTAGCTCTAATAGTATTCTTTAAACAAAAACACATCAACTGTCTTTTTCAATGAGAAACAGGGGTGAGGGGAAGGAGGGCACTTCCTTTAATAACACACAAAAAAAAATCGTCTGTCTTCTGAATAGTCTTAAAATTGAACTATATGAAAGTACAAACTAATGCCACGTGAAATTTAGTTTTGATTTGACTACCTTTCAGATTTGCATGCTATGCATGGTCAACACATCTTGCATGCTTGTGTTGTTCAGCTGAGAAGTATATAATAGTTTGAAATGAAAGTGAGGGTGATTTTTTCTGTACTGTCCAGTAGAAATAAAGCAGTTGTGGGTTACTCTACATAGGTAGGATGGAAAATAAGGCAAATAACTGTTTTGAAGGAATGAATTATTGGTCAGAGTCTGATTCACCCTTGACTCCATCTCAGTCATTACCTTCTTTACCACTGGCATTCATTTTGCACAGTCAAACACTGTTTCTGCAGTAAGCAGGCCTAACTAAAGGCCTGAAACTGATGAGTTTTAAGTATCCTTATCCAGTTCAATTATGAATTCATATTCATGTTTTTCATGTCAATTATGAGTTCATTGGGAATGGTTGTGGAAAGGCCTAATTGTTTGTCCTGAGTACTTTTGTTATGAGTGTAGTCTCTTTTCTTTCAGGTTGATAGATTTGCATATTTTGGAATCTACTTCCCATGCAGTTACTTGTGTTAATATTTTCTGCTATGAAAATAGTTTTGCTTAAGTTTAAAGGCCCTTATTGTGAGGAGAGTGGGAAATCAGGATATGGTATTGAAAGTAGAAGGGGAAAAGGTAAATACAAGATATTGATGGCAGTAGGGAAGGATCAGATTGCAGAAGAATATCTGCACAGAGATAAAAGTGCTAATTTAACATTCCTGCATGGAGTTGCATTGATGCCAGTGGTACTTTATGCTACCGCTGAGCACTGAACATCTGTTAAAGTATTTTGCTGTAAAAAGACAAATCTGTGAATGAGATGGCATGTGGTTAAGCTGTCTGTCATACATGGCCAGTGAAGTATGTGCTTCCACCAACAGAATCACAGCTCTCTGTTCCGAGCCAAAGCTCTCCTGTCTCTTCTATGGCAGAAGTGGGCCCGAATTCCTTTGGGCAGATGGTGGGCATCAGCTTGGTCACAACTCCTATCACAGGGAGGGGGGGCTAGAAATTGGTGTTTACCTCCCTTCGTTAAAAGAAAACAGAGGCAGTTTTTGTTTTGTGACCAGCCTACATTGTCAGACCTCTGTCATCTTCAAAATCTGAGGACGAGGAACGTATGTGATGTCTGTGGAACTATGAAAGTCTTAGCTAGAAATCAGGACTACCAAGCAGCTGTGTATCAAAGTCCTGGAAGTTGACCATGTGCAGCCAGCACCAGAATGGGGAACCAGAGACTTTAAGGAGAAAAATGAATGTGTGGGCAGAACTGTCTCTAGATCTGGACGGCAGCTGAATTTTTGGCTGCTCTAGTCAAAGGGTATGCCAAACATATTCACTCAAGCTCCAGTGTAATAGATATCTCTAAGTTCACATACATTCTCTGGATTCAAAGTGTTCCCTTTTACTGCAGAAGGAGCCAGTCTGTGAAAATCAATCCATAGCTGTCGTGCTCAATCAGTCTGAAGAACGCACTGAAATCACCAACTGCAGGAGCTGTGATTCCTCCTCCAGCTCTGCTCTTAACAGGGTGCTGACATCAAAGGATATAAGAGCTGTAATAAGTAAGTGGTCAACATGCAAGCAACCAATTTGAATTGCTGAAATTGATTATAAGTAGCAGCTGGCTTCACTTCTAACTGAGGATCCAATTATTATTATTATTATATTTTTTTTTAAAGAGGGGGAGGAACTCAGACCAAACAAAATTCCAAACTAAATCCATCTGTCTACTTCTGCTCAATGAAAGTTAAATAGTAAGTGTGGTGCTTTGAAGCCTAAATGAAAGTGTCACTGTTCAGAAAATGTGCAGTCTGTACAAACAAACTTTCATAAGGGCAGAAGTCTTCCTACAGGAGGAAAAAATAAACCTCTCTGCAGGTTTCCCTTTCCTCTGTGCCCATTTTAATTCTCCTGAATCATGAAATGCAAGTGCGGGCGGGCAGTCAGCGCAGCTCCTGCACTCAATTTGGCTGAGTCATGAAGTACAGCGCAGGCTGCTTTGTCTCAGGGCATTGGGCAAGGAGGCCGCTGTTGAGAGCGGCTTTGGCAGAGAGGAAACACAAAAGCAGGATTTGGAGTGTGTGACAGGGCAGTGCTGACTGGAGCAACAGCAGGGAGCCCCTCAGCCTGCACCCCTCCTCACAGCCACCCCGCGGCAGCTCACGTGTGGGCAGCGGGAGTTCTGATGGAAACTGTTTTCCTCTAGCACGCACTTAGTTGAATCTCTAGATCGCTCAGCTGACAATTAGCCCAATCAATTAGTACTATTTATTTCTGCTTTTCACGCAGTACCTTTCCTGCACTCGATTTTAGTATGAGAACCGCTCCCAAAGAAGTAGGCCTCACTGTGCCCCAAGGTATTCCTTGCAGCCCCTCGCTCCTCACACAGTGTGCTTGAAACAACTGCCTCCCACTGTAATGTTGTCCCACAGCCTTTGATTGCAGTGAAAATGGCTTCAGGTCGAACCCTCACCCTTATTATCATCCTCAAAAGAAAAGCTAAACATGATTGTTAAGGATATCTGTATGGTGCAAGCCTGGTTCCCCAGTTGAGTGGCAGATTGGCACTTACAAAATATGCTGCCAGTATGGTCTACTTCTGTTTAGTATTTAGGAAAACAGTTTCCAATCTCTTATTCTCTATATAGTAATGAAATCAACTGTGATACTTCATAGTAATTAGATAGTTGATTTAACATCCAAGCTTTTCACTTCTAAAAATTGACCAAGAGACAAGGCGGGTATAGGCAAAATGGATAAAACTCTTTTGCTTAACAAGGAGGAGAATAAAAAGGCAGTAGTCTCTGTATGTTGCATTACTTGCAGTAATTACTAATGTAGGTAAGTAGTCCACAGAGTTTCTGTAGGCTTATGATTCTAGAACCAAGCAGTGAATTTATTCTGGTTATTTTTTCTTCGTTTCTAGTGACTAAGCCTTCTGTCATCTTATCCCACCAAGCTAGGAGATGAAAAACTTAATCATTGCACCAATAGCTAGTTTTTACATTTATATTTGTATTTGATCACACTTTTGCTGAAAATAGTGACTTCCCAGTAGTCAGGGCTGTGCTCAGTACTCTTACTTTCCCCTGCCTAATAGAAAAAGGCTCAGGATGATTTCTTTATGTACGTGTATTAACTTAAAAAAAAAAAAAAAAAAAAAAAAAAAAATCTTTACAGTTCCTGTTATGCTCTTGACAAATGTTAATGCTGTGGTCCTGTTATGCTCTTGACAAATGTTAATGCTGTGGTAGAAACTACATATGCATCACATTAACCACAAAAGATGTTATCCTGGTAAGCGTTTCACTTGCATCCTCAGCTGCACTAATACTAGGCCTACTGCGAAATTCATCCATTGGAAAATTTGTATCTATTTTGAAGCCTTTGACGTGTTTACTGGATGGTTACTTGGAATTGCCCTCAACTACAGTGATGACAGATTGGTTTATTTAAACTTTGTGGGTACTTTTGGAGACTGAGACCTGCATAACATGTTGGGATTATAAATGATGCTATTCCATATAATCACCATGGCTTACCTTAGTTACCCTTGAAAAGTAGAGCCACCAAATGTTGCTCGAAAGGAGGCTGGAGTGATTTTTGTTCTGTTTGGAGTATCAGGATTAG